TCTATCTATCTATCTATATCAAAATATACGTATATCAAAATATCCTAATGAATGGACAATGGAAGTTAAGGCTATTTCTATTCTATTGAGGATCCTTACACCTTTAATACCTTTGTGCATATCTCTGGAGTTTAATCCCACTCTATATGTTGGATGCTACTGTGACTCTCGTTTAACTTGAAGTAGGCATGTTATTGGGTTGTGTTCCTTCTATTGACTGTTGACATAAGGCATATGGAGGAGAGGCGTCATCACTGTGGTGCCTTGTTTTCAGCTCACTGTCAGGTCTCGTTGGCCAGCAACCAGAAAGAAGGTGATGAAAGGGGCTCACTGTGTTCCCAGTCCCATCACTAATTTGATGATCCCACAATCAACAGCATCAATCATTTCGGGTTAGTGCATCATTCATTTATCAACTGTATTGAACGTCTATATGTGTGCTCATAGATGAAAGGATTGTTACATAATGTCCTGTGCAATGGTGACAAGGGACCAGCCAGAAGCTTCTTTGGCTTGTTGCTGACACCTGGGAGGAATGCTCTCTACTGCCCTCTACTGGTTGACTGCAGCTCATCTCTAGTCTGCAGAAAACTGCTGCTGCACTGCTCTGTGGGCTGAAACTTACAAGCATGATTCAGTTCTGACCACACCCCAGTTGGTGATGACATACAAAGAGTCTGCCTGTGACAGCTGATGAAATAAACCTGCTGTGACATCACTGAATGGGGTGTGGCCAGAGGCTCAGCGCACTGAATGTAGGAGCCACATTTAGTGGAGCAGCAGAAGCAATTTTTTTGTGTCATTTTTGATACATTGTCTGCTTAAAAATGTTCTGTTGATTTTTTTTTTCATTCTTGTTTTGGTCTTTAAGCTTCAGCCGCAGCTCTGGATCAAAGAGATACTGCATCATACTGTAAGATCTATTCACATCCATGATTTATGATCACAAAAGATAATATGGGCTTTGTCCTGACTCAAAGAGAGCTTTCAGAATCATTTTGTCCATTACTTTAATAACTGTGTGATAAGTGGATGGCAGTCTTCTATTACTTAAGCCCTGTGAAACAAAAATAGCCTAAGGCTTCTGCTCATGATAAATAGAGCCACTCAGACTACCTTGTCTAAAATACATTGCAGGTTTGATTCATCGTTCTGCGTGCTGAGGGTGTGTTAGTGCTCAGACACGATCAGATTTTACTAAATCTTTCCAGTTCTATCTTAAGGTGGAATAAAGCGTAACAACTGCTTTTCTTCCCACGGGATAATAAAAAAGGCTTAATTTTAATTCTTATGAGGCTTAGCTTGTGTGGCAGTGACAAGAAACCTCACTACCTTTTCTTGGAAGACAATGAATCATTTGAAACTGCATACTTGTCATAATTCTCACTCGGTGGCATAGAGACTCTCTATTTGTTCTCAGCTTCTGTATAACAAAAAAGTAACTTACAGTATCTTCATCAGCCTCCACTGGATTTTTCCAAATCTCAAAATGGCAGATCCAGTTCTCTTCTGAGGTCACACTTACCTTCAGGTTGATGAAGAAGAAGTAAAATGAGGTGGCTGGGATTACGTGTATCTCTTTTTTTTTATATATATATGCGTGTCTTCTCTTTTTGAAATAGGTCATATTATGGTTAAGTGTTTCATGGGATTGAAAAGACATTTTATTGTTAGCCTCCTTTACTCTTAAACAATGGTGTCTAGACTTGGCAAGCAAGGGGTTGTCACTATGTAATGCACTAACTTTTAATGTGCTGGGAGGGAATGTTGATATGAAGCTGCAGTAGTCTCTTAACCCAGATACCAAACCAGTTCCCTTCACCTTGTAATCATAATGTGCAGCTATAAAGACAAAAGAAAGTTTTACAGATAGTTTACCATGCACTGGAAAAATGTTGGGTGCATATTTTCAATGTACACAAATGTATGTGTGGGTGAATCCATCACTGTCAAGCTCAGGCATGCTTCATGTACAACAACAGCCTACTTGCTCTAGTCTACACTTGTATGTGTAGGCGCTTTTTCTTGTGATGTGGAGTTCTTGTAAATGTAACATATCAAGTGCAGCTGGAGTAACAATTAAGTAAATCCCTGAACATCTGTGTATAAACACTAAAGTATCAAAGGAGATACAGTAAGTTTGTGTTCCAGTAATGTGCTGGTGGGGAGCAGGAAGTGGTTTTAGGAACATTTTCCCGCTTTTTCCAAACCAAGAGCTGAAAAAAATGCATCTTCGCCACCCATAACACTGTCATTACTGCTGTCACTATATATTACCCAATGCAATGACTCCTCAGCAGCCTCTAAAACTGTAAATACCTACATTAATTATTAATGAGCATCCTGGTCATTCATTAATTGAATTTGGTCATTTCTGCGTTTGTGCGCATGCATGTGTGCGTGTGTGTGCCTGCCTTCCGCCCTGCCTGTATAATAAAGTTTATCCTGCCTGGAAATGCACTGTTGAAACTTTATCGACATTGATTTTGTTTTTCAGTTGCCTATAGTCATTTTTATTTCTTCAAATATTTCAGTTTAATATTGCAAACAACTTCACAACATACAAAATGAATAATATTAACCCAGAAACATGTCAATGAATAAATTTTATATATATATATATATATAATATTTTTTTTATATATATCTTGTCCTCTGGTGGGGATAAAAAAATAAACAGCAAAGCTTTGACAACAGCACCTTGACATAGTATGTAATTCCAACATTACCTTGAGAAGTTTAGAACAGTAAACAGATAAATTACTTGAGAGGAAAATTGTTTTCTGCTGAATATGTAAACGGAATGTTTTTTGGTCAGCATCATATCCTTTTTTGTAAGTGGAGAATTTCTCAATTCACAATTGAAGCAGCATGCAAGCTTTTGAAGATGGAACTGTCCTCTCTCATTCCTTGCCTGTTTTTTTCCTTCATTTTCTAATTCTTGGCAACGTAAACAAATCACAATGTCTTGAGGAATGTGATATAGTAATTTAAACTGGGCGCAAATGACTGATCAGATTTTTTTTAATTGTTTACAAGGTCATGAATATGTTCAATAAATAGACTGTAGTATCACTTTTACTGTATAAACTTCATCTTTTTTTACATGCAGTCCATAAAATTTTCATTTGACGGAATAATTTACCCTGTTATGTATATATACAAATAGATATTTTCTCTTTATTCTCTTTTTTAAACTCTTCAATAAAATCTATACATTTTATACACTATCTCCCTCTTTTAATGGTCAATGTGCATACACATGAAGTGTCTATCCTTATAAACCGCCAGCCAATCTTCTTTTTGCTATCCATGGTAAGCGCTCGCACGTAGGACTGGGTTGTCCTGCATTGGGAATTATAATGCCGCTTGTCTATTCCTCTGCAGCCCTCCTTTGTGTACCCCATGGGGTTGCATTTGGTCTCATAAAAGTATTGCTTCAGTTGGCCATTGGGGACAGGGACCTTTTCCATGACGGTAACTGTCTGCCCAGACATGTCTATTGCCGTCTTTTTATCCACAGCTGTCACCCACTGGCTAATACTGTCACACACGCTGAGCTCTCCACGCCGTGAGGGATCGGAGTGTCGCCGCACCCTCATGGACATATTAGCGGCATCCAGATAGTTTTTGTATTCCTCCAGAAGAAAGAGCAACGGCGGCTCCAAAGGCACTTGGTTGCTGATCATCACCCGCGAGTCGTACAGGTCGACATCCTTGGTCTCTGTGGTGACCACAGAGGATGGGCCCCCACCTCCCTGGCTCTTATCAGCCCCCTGTCCCAGCTGTGCCGCCTCTCCCTCCACTTCCAGCAGCTCCTCTATCACCTGCTCAAACGTGTCTGTGAGTGAGGGCAGTTCCCCGCGCTGGCCTGGCCCACCACCACTCTGTGGAGTCCCATGGCCTCGCGCAGCCGTCGCAGCGGCGCCCAAGTAGCCTTCCGTCCGATGGCCCCGCATGCCCGGGGCGTCTCTCAGGGGCGCAGCTCTCATGCAACTGAAGTATGAAATAACCATAGTAAGGAACAGGATGGTCATCACTCTTCTAACCTGGTGGAACTGGAGGGGGAGAGAAAGAGAGAAAACAAGAGGGAAGGAGGGGGGAGAGAGAGAGCAAGACGGTTAGTCAAAGAGCATTTTCAATGAAGTTAGCTTATTCTTGATCCATAATGCACAATGTAAGCCTTTCCTCTTATTTACACCCTCCACTCTTTCTTTGCACACTAAAAAGGGAGTCAGTAGCTTTGGAATAATCACAAAATGTATTTTTATTAAACTGATATTGGCGCTGTGTCATCAGTGTTTTCAAATTGTTTGCAAACTGTAATCATTCTGTTCCTATGTGAGGTCTGGCTTAGATTTTTATTTGTTGGCAGCCATACACAAAAGCTGCGCTGAGCATCAGAGAGATCGCTTATTACAAAAGATAATATTACCCAAATAGATGTCACTACATTCTTACAGGCTTGCTATTATTTATGAGCTTTTTTTTAACTAGTGTGTTAAACTGTACAGTTTATTTGAGTGTGTAAGGATGTGTAGTTTTATGATGGCCAAACCTGCCATTCATCCCTCGCTGCCTGAATCACTGTGCTGTCTTATCAAGTGTTGAAAGCTTTTACCTTTCCCATATATAATCCACCCTATTACTTTATAAAGGACATAGTGGATTTTCATATTCTTAAACTTCATGTTTATTAGTGCAAGTAGTTACCTGCATTGTTTGATTTTGTAATGTATTAATAATAAAACTGACAGGTGGATGCATTTTGGGCTCCAGCCATGTGTGGGTCAGAATTTGGAAAGGCATGTGTTGACATAAGGATATGCTTTTGTTTGTTTTGCTTGTGCAAAGAGCTCATATATTATCTTTTGACTATGACATTAGCCTACAAACAAGAACACCATTATCAACACTCAGGGAAACTCCAACATGGACGGCACTTTGTGTGTGTCAGCTCTGACTCACGCCGGTGCTGCAGTATTAATATTATTATTATTTAAACTGGTCTGTGCTGTAAGACAGGTTTGATACTAAACCGTATAGTCATGAACGGGAATCCGGAGTTTGTTGAGGGACACTGTTTGTTGTTGGCAGGTGGATGGCGAGAGCACTGCAGGATGAACTAACAGGATGTCATGAGGAAACTGAATGACAGAAAGATGTGTCATCCTCCCTGCACCGTAAAGTACCAATCTCGAGGCTCCCGAGAGCAACTCACAAGATAAGCAAAGCACTGCCAGGGGAGGAAGAAAAGAACCACAAGGAGCCAGGTGTAGCAGAAATACTGTACATAAGCATCCTTGAGCACATATGCATCCCTTACCTTTGAGAAGCTCTAAGATTCACAGCAAATCAATGAATTGGTGGACATCCAACAGCCCGGAATATAAAAGCAACCATAATGAAAAGAAAATCTAGATCTTGCTTTCCACAGGGGCTCATTTAAAAATAGCCTGGCCGCGGCTTTGACTGCACTCTGCATGTCCCAACTTGATAAAGGAAAACACGCTGAGCAAACACACTCCTGCCTCCACTCAGAACGGACACGAGGACCTTTACAGTAGGGAGGAGCGAAACCCCACCTTAAAAGCATTTGTTTCATTCTTAATTGGTATCTGGGGCCGTGGCTGCAATTAACCAACACCGCGGTGACTGCCATAGAGATATCTCGTCTAAAAATAGACGTGCTGGGAGTCTCACAGTCTCTATTCAGAATATCACATCCTTCTTCTTAATGAGCCGCTCATTCCCCGAGCTCAGTGACGTGCTCCTCCAGAGTGTGTGAGTGTGTGTGTTAGAGGGAGGGCATGGGGAGGGGCTGGCTTGTATCTGTTTGCAGGGAGATGGGGGTATTTTTCCTCTCACCAATTAAAACAACAATGAGGACAAAGCCAAGAATAAGGAGCTAATTATCAATTTTTCATTAAATATTGCTAACAAAAGCCTGCTTAACATGCAAAAACAAGCGTATTAACCCTTCAATATTGTTAAGGTTTTGGTTCCAATAACAATCATTTTCTGTGAGGCTTCCCGGCACAAAAAATGATGTAGGTTTTTACGGGATTGAGGCCAGTCACGAGCTTTATGTGTAGGATGCATTTAGGCTGATATTATTATCAGCGTTGCGCTCAAATGGTTCCACTTCCACATAAAGGAAATGAAGGCAGAGGGCTGATTACTGTTAGGCATCAAACTTCATGCTGGAAATGGTGCAGACGAAGAGTGCTGCATCTTCCGTAACAGACCACAGGGGTAATATTGCAGTAGCAGGGGGTGGAGAGAGTGCCAGCGTCATTTCGCAGCATAACAACCACAGATGACGTCTCTTCCAGGTCTCCATAGGGGAGAGAATGGAGGGGAGGAGGTTGCTGGGGGTAATGCCACTCAACAGTGTGCAATTGCGTGCCATTCCCCTGGGTATCCTCACACCGGGAACAACAAATGATTTTATTTCTATCTCTGTGATTTCCTGTTTCCATCAGGACAATCAATATGGCTTATGCTCTCAATCAACATCCTGTTAAAATGCGATAAAGCCAATGAATCATTTAATTGCTGTGGGACTGGCGGAGAATCTCTGGCTTATATCTACCAGAGGCTAAATGTGACAACTGATTGGTTTGCTCTTGTTTTATACATCCAGTGAAGGAACATTTTATGTGCACTGCTGGATTTCGCAGTTAATAAAAAAGCGGCTAGCGAGTTAACACAACGAGCATGAATAATAAAGCAAGGGAGGAACCACATATGGAGGAATGTTAGAAAGAAAATGTACTCTTTTGAAGCCTCTGGACCTGCTTTAAGACAGTTGATTTGGTTGGGGAAAATATCGAACACAAAGAGGTGGAGGAGCACATTTCTTCTATCTAGATTGTTATAAATATAATGAAATCCAGGCACATCCCACCAGTCAAGCTGTCCAAGGATGACAGTTCTTTTGACTATAACACGTAAATCACTAATCACAGAGAGGAGGAAGATAAAGCCTGCAATAACCGCTGCTCAAACACGCCTTTGTGCATGACAACACACCAGAACAATAGGAGCAGGTGAGTGTGTGGACTCTGTCTACTGTTTGGCTTTGACGTCTCTAGATGACCACCTGTTCATCTGCTTTGAGAGCACGGCTGTATGGTAGGGATATGTAACTTACCCTCGCATTTATTCTTTGTGCCAGGTGGGGATTAAAGTGATAAATGCCTCCTTTGACAGATGCTGAAAAGTTTCTCTACAGCATGAAAGGACTAGCACGGCTAGTATTATTAGACATTCAGTAATGTTCCCCAGCCTCCCTGCACATGTCAGCACACTTTATGGCTTCATCTTCCCAAACAGCGTGCATGATATCTTAGGAACCGTTAGAAGGGAAAATAAACATCAAACAAGAGAGATGAAAGAGGAAAATGTGCCCACTACATTTGAATAGAAATGTATGACCTATAGCAACATTTGTTCTCTCCCGCTACCACTGCTCCCTTGTGGGCATCCGCCTTTGTTCAATTCCTCGAGAACCGTGTCGGTTGGAGCTATTTACCTTGCAACATGTTTTGTCATGTTCAACATGTATAGCACACAATGCCAAAAGGAAGAAGAAAAAAAAACAACACGCAGCATATGATATCAAAATTTCTACCAGAGGACCCCCTTGTGTTCAATGCAGCACTTAAAAAAGGCAATTAGAGTTGTCTGCAGTAATGGCTGACACATGTGGAAGCTTGCTTCCTTGAGATCTGTTTTCAATCTGACACAGTTTCAGAGCACGTTTAGTAATAGATGAGCATCACTAAGGGATTAAACCCGGCCTCCAGGCCAACCCCGGCCACTGCCACAGAGAGCCCGGCATTCAAATAGCTGCTGAGTGATTTGTGCTATCCAAATGAGTCGTTATTTCCCACCCACGCTGTGTGCAACCCTGGACAATTGAGAAAATACAGCAGCATCATATACAGCATGGTAAAATTCTAACTGGCTCTCATTTGAGGCCACACGCTTGTCCTTAAATGTGCAAAACTTTAGTTTATTAGCGTTAAAGTACTCTGAAATTTGGTTTCCAATTATAATCTTAACATTAAAAGACCATAGTTCATTTTGACCTATGAATCAGCATCTGTGAAACCTAACTACTAAAATAACACCAACAGACCTACAGCTCCAAATTAACAGCAATACAGTTCTTAACTTTGGCCACTAGATGGCGTGTGAGACCGTGGAATAGTAAGAACTCCTTCTCTTTCTCCCTTCCACCCATCTCTTTCCCTCCCTCCTGTGAAACACGATAGATAGATAGATAGACATTTCCTTTCCCAGGATGCCCAAGCAGTTTTGGTTGTGCGTAATTGTAAGGCAATCAAGTTCACTTATATGGTATTTGGTCACAACTCTGACCAGAAATGTGGCCCTAATTTTCATTTTTTGATAAGTGCATCATAAATTTGATCATGAAACCATGATCTAAGCAGCCCTTGTGTACTGCTATGATCCTCAGATAAGCTCTTGGACAAGATATTTTCACACGAAGCTGTCACAAATGAGCTGAGGTTTTCCACCACTCCATAAATGGGACTTAATTTTAAATCCGCGTTCATTCGGGCCAGCAATTTGAAGTTATTCAGTATGTGCACACAACACCAAGAAGTAGACCCAACAGTGTAGGTGGCCGACGTAGCTGGCCGTTAGGTCTCGGGTTTCCTATAAAGTCTTAATGAGTTCATCAAAGTTTTTCCCCCTCCAAAACAACAATACAGAAACTGTCTGGGGTTTTTTTTTGTGTTTGTTCACAGTGCAGGAGGTTGGATGAGCAAATATAGACTGCACACTCCGAACAAAGAGTTTACTGAGCTATTTATAAGCATAAAGTTGCAGTTTAAATGTTCAAACGTGGCTGATACAGAGAGGCACGCTGGATGGTTTCCACTTTACTTACGAGAAATACTAAGAATAAGTTACATTGTTTTAGGGCTGCTCTGATAATGAAACGACAGTCCTCTTTTTCTTTTTTTCCCCCCCTTCTTTTCTCGAGATTACATCTGCTGAGCCCGTGCTCTCCACT